AGTTCCTAGCAGGTTACCAGCCCAGGAATTGTACGCTTATCCCTCCCTCCCCACCAAGAGCCTGCACCTGCCTTCTGTCTCCAGCCCCCCAGCCTCCTTTGTTCCCCTGTGGCCTGGGGGGGAATCCCCCACTGTTTGCAGTTGCCCGCAATACTCATAATGCCCACCAGGGGGAGACGTGGTACCATCTCTCCCCCCCAGCCTTCCGCCTTAGGTTAGACAAAACCAACTGGCCAGTTCCCTTCCCCAGGGCAGTGTGTGATGATTTCAAGCACCTCCTTTTGTGCCAGAAAACGGACATCACAGAGGCTGCCTTGGGGGTGCTGAGGCAGAGTCAGGTGAAGACCGTGTGGATAGTGGGCCGGCGAGGGCCCCTACAAGTGGCCTTCACCATCAAGGTACTGGGACCAGAGGGGGAGGGGCAGGGTCCCAAGCAGAGGGTCCCCATGTATGGGGGGTGTGTGGCGGGGGTGGTCATCAGAGCCCCTCGAGTGGCTGCTGCCTGGGAGGGACCCTGGGGAGCAGGCAGGACACCCAGTGCCTGGAACTTTCCATGGTGGTGTCCTGCCCCAGGCTGCCTTGTGTGTGGGGGGGGGGCTGTGTTCTGACTCTGACCACCCCCACTCCCACCCCACGCTCCAGGAGCTTCGGGAGATGATCCAGTTACCAGGAACACGGCCCCTTCTGGATCCTAAGGATTTTTTAGGTCTTCAGGACAGCATAAAGGGTGAGGGGTCCGGCCTGGCCCCCTGGGAGGAATGGGGGGCTCCTGTGGGTAGGGACAGCCCTGAGGTGCCCCATGTTGTTGCCAGAGGTCCCGCGGCCCAGGAGGCGGCTGAGCGAACTGCTGCTGCGCACAGCCGTGGGGCAGCCACACGCGGAGGAGGCCGCCCGCCGAGCCCTGGCCGCCCGAGCCTGGGGCCTCCGCTTTTGCCGAAGCCCCCAGCAGGTGCTTCCCACTCCAGATGGGCGGCGGGCAGCAGGAATCCGCCTGGCGATCACCAGACTGGAAGTGAGTCTCGTTACCCAAGGATCCCCCCCCTGCTCCCCCATATGCCCCCCCGCCTTCTGAGGCCTCTCCACCCCACAGCCTGGTGATGTCCCCACTCTCCCCGCAGGACGTCGGGGAGGCCGCCCGGGCGGTGCCCACAGGAGACACCGAGGACCTCCCCTGTGGGCTGGTGCTGAGCAGCGTTGGCTACAAGAGCCGCTCCATCGACCCCAGTGTGCCCTTTGACCCTAAACTTGGCATCATCCCCAATACAGAAGGCCGGGTTGTGGAGGTGCCAGGTGAGCGTGTGGGAAGGCTGGGCATGTGTGGTAGGAGGCTGTGTCTCCTAGCCCATCATTCACTAGTGCCAAGCACCGAGAAGCTCTGCGGGCAAGCCTGGCCCAGGACCCAGCCTACCCTTACATGGCCAGATGTGTGGTCATTAAGTCATTCAACAAACACTTACCAGTCTGCTCTGGGCTAGGCCCTGTGCTCAGTGCTGGGATGGGGGCTGAGGCAGCCTCCTCTCTTCAGGCCACTTCTGGTCTAATTGTTCTGATTATTTCTCCAGTCAATAAATGCTTCTGAGGGTCTGCTAGGCTGGGGATGAACAGGCCCCTGCCCCTAGCTTCCGGGAAACTGAGGTCTAAGGAGTCTGACAGAGTAGAACAGGTTCAGAAGCATCCAGGGTGCTAGATGAGTGGCCATCATGAGCCTAGCTGTTGGGATTCACTGGGAGGTTTGTGGCGAGTGTCTGCGTGCACCTCTCTGTACAGGTGGGGCACAGGCTTGCCAAGCCACAGCCAGCCACTCCCGTTTTCGCTCTCTCAGGACTCTACTGCAGCGGCTGGGTGAAGAGGGGACCCGTGGGCGTCATTGCCACCACCATGACGGACAGCTTCCTCACCAGCCAGCAGCTGCTGCAGGACCTGAAGGCCGGGCTGCTGCCCTCCGGCCCCCGGCCCGGCTCGGCGGCCATCCAGGCCCTGCTCAGAAGCCGAGGTCTGGGCTCGCCCACTGAGGTCCTGGGTGGGGGGGTCACCCAGGAGGAAGGTGAAGGAGGAGGAGACCGCACTGGCTGTGTCCCTTCTGCCTCAGGAGTCCGGCCAGTCTCCTTCTCAGACTGGGAGAAGCTGGATGCCGAGGAGGTGTCCCGAGGCCGGCGCGCCGGGAAGCCCCGAGAGAAGCTGGTGGATCCACAGGAGATGCTGCGCCTGTTGGGAGGCTGAGCCCGGATCCCTGCCCAGGCCCCTGGGACACTGAGCCTGGATCCCGGCCCAGGTCAATGAAGGGAGAGGGCTGGGCCCAGCGTGAGCCCGCTCCACACCCTAGACACCCACTGCCCATCCTGGCCTGGGGTCTTGGCTGCCTCGCGCAGGCCGACGCGGCCCCGCTCCGCCCTCCCCCTCCCGCTGGACTCCGGAGGGCCACTCGGCGGGGGGGGGGGGGGTGCTGGAAATAAACTAGCTGAAACCAAAGTCTACACGGTTGATGGTGGATGCTTCTTTGGGGGGGTGGGGGGGCAGGGTCACCTTCTGGCCCCGGCTAGCCCGGGCCACCAGGTGGCGCTGTGGAAGCGCGCCCTGTGCCGGAGCCTCTGGGGGCTGGGGCTGGGGCCTGGGGGGCGGGCCTGGCGCGGCGCACCGATCCGGCTCTGCCGGCCCTGCGGCCTGCTTACCCCGGCCCAGCCCAGCTCAACCAGTGAGAGGCGAGGTGACCTCCCCCCCGCGGCATCAGCCTTGGGACCCCCCCCCGTCTACCCCCCCCATGGCGGGCAGGTGTGGCCTTGGGGCCCCCTCTGGGCACCCCGTGCCTCGCGACCGTCTGCGCACCTTCTCCATTTCTAGCCAAGTCCCCAAATTCTTTAAGAAAAACCCCCCAAAAGCTGTACCTCCCTCGGGGTGAGTCTAATACGGGCGCCCCGGGGCCCTGGCGTCGCTTTATCAGCCAGGATCCCGGAACCGGGCGGCCCAAGGTCACACTGGCCAGCCGAGGGCTTGA